TGCATATTATTTCAAATCATGCAAGTTTTTTAAAAAGTTGTGTAATGACATATGCATTTTCGATTTGTAGAGTGGCATTTGAAAATGAAGAAGACCCGACTTAAGTTGACCCAGTGCCATAGAAGATAAATCAGCATCAATATGTTCTCACCACAGTATCCTCCTAGAAAGAACACATCAGCACATCCTGTTACCAGCCTGTACTTCTATTACACTAGCATTCACGTATCCTATAGCATGTGCACATGAGCGCCACATCGGGTTTCACTTCTGCTTCTGCAAAGTAGTCATGAGTATTACTTTAAATATCTTGATGGATGACAAAACTACCCACAGACACAGTAATGGCACAAAAATATCCGTTTTGTATTGTTAATTACAATGCAGGCTTTTTATAACAGCATTACATGGGTGATAGTAAGAACTACGGCCACTCAGACCTCACTCAACCTGTGGTCTTCTCTTGTCATGTGACAGGCGTCTACAGGAGGATTAACCTCACGGTGCACATGAGTTAGGGCAGTACGGGAGATAAGTGTCACTTCACTCCAGTAAGCAAATTATTCTGCTCATTCAGCTGTCTCACGTCTGATCTGCAAATCCTCAACTTGCAGGACATTGACTGAGGCTATACAAATACGTTTATATTTTAAAACAAGAATAGTTTCCACGGTTTGGCTCCATTTCAAAAGCAATGGCCATCCACACCAGCACACGTGCAAATCCTATCATGTACACAGATCGTGGTGTCAGCATAAACAGGAAGCATTGCTTATATGTAGAAAATACAACAGAAGAAGGAAAGCGATGGCAAAAAGTAAGACCAAGGATTGCATCGCTTGGATTGACATCAAAGTGGAACTGTTACTGAAGCAACACATGAGTTTAAGGCAGTCAAAAACATAGACTGGGAGTCATCGTAACATGATAGGGGTGAAATGAATGAGGGAAGGACAAATAACATCTGACAAAACCCAATTAAGAAACAAACATGAGTGTCCATGTCATTGATTTTGTCCATTCAGACTAAAACACAATCACAGATTTTTCAAATTAAAACAGTTTCAGCAGCGTTTCCAAAAGTCTCTACTTAAGGAGTCCTAAAATACAGGCATAGTGTGACTCCTAGCCGCAAACAGAACAAAATTTAAGGATTTCAAAATCAAACCGTACTGGTGTGGATGTAGCCTTCCTGCAGGAGTTTTATGGTTTTGCCACACAGACAATAACATGATTGTTTTCTCTTGTTAAGCCAAACCTAAGATCACACACGGAGAGGTATTCTTTCGCACCAAACCGAGATGTCACTTTATGCATGGAACTGACAATTACGCTGTTCCCAGTGATGCTGCGGCAAAAAAATAAAAAAATTAAAAAATACCCACTACGCTGGTGGTAGTTACACTTTGCATGTGCGCCACACAATTAGGTTTATGATGACTGATGAAAATGATGGTCACCGAGGACTCATACTAATAGTGCTATTAAAATAATAGCTGACAAAGGTCTTCAGCTTTAGCTCTTGTCTAATAATCAGTGACAGTAGAATAGTACAGCTATAATCACCCTGACTAAACTAATTATGAAGTCACGGGGGCTCGGGGGCTGTTGAAGTTAGAGCAGAGAGTGTGGGGAAGCGGGGACACTGAATGGAAGCAGAGCCATGCGGAAGGGAGTGTTGATACATGCCCAAAGAGACAGTGTGCAGCTGGGAAAAACCACCACCACTCTCCATACCGTCTGCACATCGCCTCCACTTCCTGTTACTCATTCCTATTTTACTCACACACACCCCCCAAAAATACTTTCCGAAGTTCACGCATTCCTCTAAAATTAAGTCAACATCCATACAATGTCCTCCTAAATAGGCACAGTAATAACTGATTTATGCTCGATGGGATGACACACAGCTGTCTCCTCCCGATACTCGTCGAGACAGAAGGCCCTGTGTCAGTGCCTTCTCAAGTTAATTGTAAGTGAGTTCCAACATCAGGCCTACAGTATGCTGCACGGCTTCACATGTCAACCGACGGACGACTACCAGGGCTGACAGTCACCGAGCAGCTCCACACGCTAACCCAGCCTCTACCACAGGCCCTGTGATGTGATAGCACCGCAGAAGACAAAGGGATGGGTTCCATATGGCCAGGAATCACAGCCTTCAAAAAGAAAAACGAATGGGACCGTGAAGAGAATCTGTGTGACAGCGCCAAGAAGCAAGTGGCATGGAAATGGGATCCCAGCCAACACAACACTGATTTGGTGTCAAAGCTGTTTGTAATATAAAAAAAGGGGCAGGGAAGATCAAACTGCTTAAAATTCATTAATCATCTTTACTGACTACCGGCTCGATCCTCGAAGAGCACCTGATTTTGTATCTTCTTCACTTTTAAACTACCAGCATTATTGTTCTTGACCCACTGCGGCACGCGCTCTATTTTTATTGCTGAAAATGTATTTTTAAATTCAAGAGCGATAAATTTTGAGTGTATTTCTTTTTCTCTCTCTTTTTATTTTTTTTCCTCCTGTTGTCATACTTTCTCGGTCAAAGGTTTGTGGGTTTCCAGTATTATTAGGGGGTTGGAATTCATGTAGAAACAGCTTTAACCACTCATTCATCAAAAGCAGCCCTGTTTACTGCATATTTGGACAATCTGGAAAACTCTTATTCCTGAGTAAGATAGAAAGCAGGACTTTTCACTTCCTAACATGAAGTGCACAGAGATTTGGCAGCATATTTCCTGTTGGAACCCCATGTCTCCTTTGTCCCATCCAAGTTTGTTAAACCGCTGTCATTTCAATTGTTCTGCTATAGAAAAATTATAATCCACCTGTCAACAATGACAGGGTGTTGGAAAACTCGGATAATGGATACTGTAGGGCCCTGAAATTCCAACCAGGGCACTTACTGCCAACTAAAACCATTACAGAATGACAATTCTTTTTCAGTTTATTTGAAAATTGCAGAGAATCACCACTGCCTCTCTGACCATCTAACCACAATCAATTTCCGCAGCCAGGCCCAGATATGAATGAAAGAGGAAAATGAAATATTGACTTGTTTAGTAAAGGGGTTTTTATCTCCCTCCATTGTTGACAACGCCATAAAAACTCCATTCAGCACACTTAACTATCTCGCTATGGTGCAGATAGTGGAGCGTGACTCGAAGATAGTGGCCCTATATTTAGGGTTACACTGACATTGAATTAATAATTTGATTCATGAGTCCATTCTAGGCCATTTCCATAGGTAATCAACCCTAAAAGGGAAACAGTAGCGTCCACAATTAGAGATTAATGCTGCCTTTGGCCAACTCGCTCGCTGGCGTCATCAAGGTAATTAGGGGGAGATAAATTTCTACAGTTTAACATAACAATGAAAGTCATGTAAAAGACTTCGAATGGGTTCTGCTTGGAAAGAACATTTCGTTGCGCAAAAAAAAAAAAACGCAGTAAAGTCGGCAAGAACTGTACACGGCGCTGATTCCTCTTGTGACCTCTGCACAGTTAGCAAGCTGTGAGTTCAGCGGAGTTGTGTAGGATTGGTTTTGTTCACACTCGGGGCCTATAACACCAACAGCCTACTGACAAAAGCTGAGAGGGATCACTTTGATCTCTGTGCCTCACTAAATCAACACCAGACAAGGTTCACGCAAAGGTCGGCAAAGTCATCTGATCGTCGCATTCCAAAAGCAAGTATTGCATGACAGCCATACACCAGCGCAGGTTAAATGTCACCAAAAGTTCAGGCATGACGACGGAAGATGGACAAATTTAATATGCCCCCAATGTAAAAAGAGAAGAAGAGCCGACAAAGCAAATAAAAGGCGGCTGAAACGTGGTTTTAGCCGTGCAAGTTAGTGGAGCTAAAAACATGTGACATGCTTTAATTGTTTGCACTGTGATACAAAATTTTGTTCAGAGAGTTGCTAAATTGTTTGACATAACAGAATCCGAGAGACTTATACACCGTGGAAATAAAAGGTAAGCTAAAATGGGACTGGGTTTATATCACTTCACACCATTTACACAGACTGTATACACGTTTCTTCAGCTTTGATGCTGAGCAGAGACACGGAAAAGCAACGGCAATACGGTCCATGTTCAGATCACACAAACACTGCGGTTCCCTGTACTATACAGTCATTTACACAGGGTCACTAGTCTTCACAGGAGACCAAACCTATCATAACACAGCTGTGAGCACAGACCTCCTTTGTATTCCGAGAAAAGAGAAAGGAAGGAGGGGGGGGGGTAAAAAGATGATCCAATTAAAGTTGTATATCATTCTGCTCTCCTCTGTCAGTGCATATTCCTCTGGCTCTATTAGAAGCCAGCTCCTCCCAGGCAGGCCAGTGTAGCTCTGTAATTACACCTCTTCTTCTGACAACCTGCATGATTGTTTTCCTAACACTGTATTACTTCGTTAGTACTTTCCAGTGCGCGTTATTTTTAAACTGTCAGTCTGGCCCCGACTCATCCCCCCGATCTGCACTCGTCTGTTTATCATAACAATCATTAATAACTGTCACTTGCCAACATCCATAGAACAAACTCATTGCCTCATTACCATGTTGGAGCGTTTGTTCCGGCGCAACGCCTGTGTATCGCTCACAACAGGGCCAAGCCAATTACTTTGCTGAAATGGAATCACATTAATCAAAACTTAACAAGGTGGCAAATTTAAAGATATCACATTGCAAAAGACAGCATAACTAATATGTCACTGTCATGGTTGCTGTGGAGGTATGCAGCAGGCAGGGACTAAATATATTGCTTTCAAGGGTCCATATGAATTTAGACGTTTCGTATGATCGAAGAAGTACTGGAGGCCGAATGAGCTACACAGAGCCAAATAGTGGCTACGACTGAGGACCTTATTGTCCGTCCACTAAACAAACAGACAGAGATGTCAGGGCAGGTAGAGCGCAAGAGAATGCAAGAGAGAGACGGAAGCAGAAAGAAAAGAAAAAAAAGGCGACAAAAGTGAGGTAATTCACCTGACTGGAAGCGGGAGGACAGAGGTGGGAATCATGGGGGCAGTAGAGGAACAGGAAGGAGAGTAAAGTGGGAGGAACAAGGAAGAAGAGGAAGACAGCGAGGGAGGCGCTTAAAGAATCGGAGAAATGGTGAAGAAGAAAAGAAGGCGAAGGAGAAAAAAAGAAGCATAAAAGGCGAGAGGGATAGAGGGATGGACAGCGAGCAGCGAAGTAGAAACGAGGCGAGGCGAGAGGGAAAAGGGGAGAGGGGAGGAGGAAGCGCCGAGCGTGTCTCTGAGAGCACCAGCAGGCGGCAGTTCATCATGTCTCCCTTCACAGAGACGTTTTCTTTTACACTTTAAATGATGATACTCATCAATCACGGGCTGACAGCTGCATCAAGCCAGCTGCAAACATGCAAAGGCCAGCAGTGTGAAACCTGCTGACGCCACCCATCGCTGCATACAGGAGGAATCAGTCAGCCGCTCGGCCTCCGCCCAGGAATTATCTGCTCTCACAACACACCAGCTTGCTTTTCTCTCCGGCAAACCTAGAGTAAATACAATCCATTTTAACAAAAGTACCTCGCATGGGTTTGACAAGTGACATGTAGACCTACTTTTACAGAGTGTAGGAATTGTACATTTTTATTAATTTTAATATAAAAGCAATAATAGTGTACGTGAGGCTAGAGGACATGAGCTTAAATATCATGTTCCACATTATAGTTTAAACAGACATTTAAGCGCGTTCAGTAAAGATAAGATTGCGAGGTTTTTCGCAAATAAACTCGAAGTCAAGACATGCTTGACAATTAACTGACTGGATAAGGAATGATTCTGGACTGGAGTTTACTAGCTGGGCTTCTACTTTATCAGAAAGCAACAGTGACAGGCTTTAACACCACTGTCACAACACATAGCTGCAGAGTGAACTCCCACCACCCACCATTAGCCACAACAAGTCCTGAATCTCTGTCCGGATCAAGGTGCATATTGATAGATGTAATCATTCAAATGGGATATTAGGAGATTTTAATCAAATTGGGGGGAAAAAAATTCAAATATGTTGTGTAATCTGGCTGATTTTCCCACTAATGATTAGAATTAAAAGCACGGTTACTGTATCTGGAATTCGTCTGCATCTATCATTCACCGAGACAAAAGGCAGTCCTTGGTGCCAGAGGTTATCCATACACAGCTCATCCACACTACTGGTCTTAGATTACTCCCCTCAGCCATCCTTCACTTTCTCCTCCTCCTCCTCCTCCCTTTTATTTAGCGTTCTTAGTGACTGCTCATTTCTAGCACTCAGACAGAGGGGGGTTGAGCTGAACAGAGCCAAGCAGATGGATGCGAATTCAAAGTTTCCTGATCTTTAGCAGAAGTTATGGAGGGTTATCTTTGGCTGTATATCTGGGCCCTGGCAGCTCTCCCCTGGTGATGAAGGATTAAGCAGCACAGCTGTCTCTTCCCAGAATGATGCAGTGCAGTGCTCCCCGACACGACAGCATCACTTAATCTTAATGTCCGCTCCTCCAGCGCAGACGCACAGGACAAAGCCAATCAGCATCACATGCCACGGGGATGGACCCTGCTGCCTGGCCCGGGAGTCTCTCACCCTCACAGGCCGATTAATCAACTTCAGACAGCCCAGTTCAATCCCAACCACAGCTCCCCCTGCTCTGATCTGCTCACTCGCTCCCTCACACACAAATATACACGCTCGCCTCTCTAACTGTTGTGATGTATAGAGCTGGGGAGGGCTACCATGAAGGAACACTTATCAGATTGCAGTCCACATTATGCATGTCTTTGTGTTACGCTGAGAGGGGGAAAAAAAAAAAGGTGGTGAGCAAAGAGGGAGGAGGGTTATTGAATGCTTACACCTTATTTCTGTCACAGGCCACCTATTTGCTGTGAGATCTATGAGCTCCAATAAGGGCTTAAGGAATAATGACTAATGCTCATTTGGACAAATGGCTCTCCGGGAGGTCCTGGGCGAGGATTTAAACCTGATATGATACCCGAATCCTTGCAAAGGAGGACAACAAGATCGCTTGACTCGCAGTCTTAGCTTCTCGTTTCATATGATAGCTTAACAACCTGTATCCAGATCAGAGGGCTGCGTTAATGCATGTTGCACACAGACACGACAAGGAAAATGGATTGCATTGCCCCCCCAAAGAAGGGAAATCCTTAGAGAATCTGCTCCGTTATATCAAATGCAGTTAATCAAGTCGCCAACCAATTACAACACCACCATGAAGACAGACAGGGAAATAATATGCATGGCGGAATGATGTTTGGGAAACACACCCAAGTGTATGTTTATGACGTCCTGTAGAGCCCTGGTTATGCGCAGATATAGAATATTAGCTCCATAAGTTACTCTCAATTGCAGTCAGTCTCATTACCCACGGGGCATTTCCCTGTTTCACGGAATGATAAAGAGCGCTCCTGCTTCAAGTCGAATAGTGGGGTGTATACAACATTAACACATGCAGGACTCTCAGGCGTCCTATCCGAAAGGCCGCTATGATTTAGGAGAGCTAATTTAGAGCAATAAGCATTGAACACCATGAAAGCATCACGACGCCACTAGTATACAGTATGACCTTGAATAAGTAGTAAAGCAACATAATGGGGTTCTTTATCTGAAGAATACTCTAATCTTTCTTTCACACAGTACCACTAGATCTAATATATGTGTGTTTATATAGCGCTTTAATAAAAGACATAAAAAGGGGAGATGTTTGCATTATTGTATCGGTTTCACCACTGAACTGCAATTCATAACAGAAAAACACTCGTAGCTTTGACAATAAAGACCTGCTTTTATTGCAGCGGAGTTCATGGTTATAAACAAAAGGAATTCATCTTATTACTGATGTTATGAAGCAACTTCTGGTCAGATATACCCGCGCAATCTGGGCTTAATTTCTTCATCTGTCATTCCCAATCTTTTCACAGTGCAGCCTCTTAATCTAATAAGTTATTCAGGAAATATGATACTCACCAAGCAGCAGTGGTCATTTACACATAGTTAAGTTGTTTCTACCATGGTAATTACTGCTGGCAACAACACAGCATACCGCTCGGGCAGTTTATGATGGCGTCTAAGAGTGATTTACCAGTGTTATCGGCCGGGCTGAGGGGGGATCATTTGGGCCAAAGCGAGGCGAGCCCTTGGCAGATTCTGATCACGCTTTTTCCACGAAGACCTCGCTGAGCGAAACAGAGCAAAACCCAGAACAAGATTCGGAAAAATAAATCTTTTTTAACTATTGCACTTTCATCTGCCAACCTGGACCGCAGAGCGCTTTCTGTGTTTTACTACGATCTCATGAAGAAAACTATTTATATGTGAACTGGCCAATGAGGATTGACATAACAACAACACGATCCAGGATTATGCGGTCGCGTCCGTCACAAGGCGCTGGTGATGATTCCAAAATCAGCACACAGATGAGACAGGGAACAAGAACACGGGTCGCAGGGTAACAAATGTTATTGCCGATTCTGTGATGGATGAAACATTCAGAGAAAGTTTGCATCATAAAAACACAACTCTGTTTTATATTTGTTCGGAACCTTCCTTTCTGCATTTATTCATGCGAAGCTTAACATTTGCTGTGGTCTTTTTGCTGGGGGTAAAACTTGTGTCATCCATAATGTGGGCTATAAGTTGTCTGATATGCCGAGGCCCCAAATGTCATCTGGTTTTTAGAAAATGTTATCTGTCTGTTTGTGTGTGGAGTCCATATCATGAGCAGATGAAGATAACTGGCAATTACTGCCGGATAAGTTGGCAGCAAAATGAGCTAAACGGAGAGACTTCAAGTCAATAAAACTGGCAGAACAGTATATTTCTCTAAAACACACATACATTCTGTAGCCATGTTTGCAAGCCAGGAAGAAAAAAAAAATGTCGAGACAAGCCTCTGCTTATTCCAAAGTCCCAAAAACCCCTGTTCACGTACACTTGAGCGCTCGCAGCGAATATGTGAGCACCACATACTCCACCCATGATATAGTGCAGATAATATAAGCTGCAGCCTAAATATTACTGCACCATTACACTGTTATAGATTTCTACCTGTAGTGTGAAACCATCAATGGCCTTCTAATGATATGATGATAGAGCCGGGACATACTTCCATTAATTCATCATTCTATATTCTCTTCCACAGCTTCCAGAGACCTTGCTAATACAGACATCATCTCCTGTCCCACGCACATAATAAAGGCCTGTCAGATCCACGGTGTTATTAATTAGCACTTCTCTGAGGTGAAATTCAATCAATTGCGGGGCCCTCTGATAGCTTTTTAGCAGGTTATGCAAATCAAATGTGACCAAGCCCTGTCGCCGCCACGGTGGCCGCTAAGAAGAAAACCTAGACGCGCTGCACAGTCACTCCTCAGACTCCTCGCCTCCTCCTCCTCCTTCTTCTTCTCCTCCTCTTGCTCCTGTCACAGTGCTAACACATTCATTACTTTAACATTTGAGCTCTCCTAGCTCTGATAGCATCAGGGAAGGGTGAGAAAGAGAAAGGGTTGGTGGGGAGGGGGGGGTCTTAATGTTCATTTAATTAGAATTAGACATATGGCGTATGGTGCAGAGAGGGTGACAGGCCTTGCAATGACTCACCTAAGGGGAATGGAGAGGCAGCACTCAGACACCATGAGATCATGCGAGTACAATAATGGATGGAAGGAGGTATTTGATTTGAGTGGGTTGACAACATGCTTTGAGTTAGTATGGATTTCTGTATAATAACAGGCTTATCCAAGTAAATTGAACGCTAAACCAACAGCAGAGTCATAACGCATTATTGTTAAAGTGTAGCATGCGGATTAGTTGGTTTCTAAAGTTGTTTAGCACTCTGAATTCCTAAGGAGGCCTATCCCTGCTTTCATACTCTTTTGTTTCGCCCAAAAAAAAAAGGCGCAATCCTTTAAAACGATTCGCCGAGATGAAAAGATACTTCTTCTGTGATCGCAGAAAGGATTTCAGCTTTGGCTACTGTACGGTCATACATCATTGCAAATGCACACTTACATGAAAACATCTAAGGA